TGTGTGTGTGTGTGTGTGTGTGCGAGTATACTGTGTGTTAATTGTTTTTGCGTTTGGCTTTGTTTCTGAGAAGTGCTGAAGGGGCTGTGATGCCTAACTGGTTTCTTCTCAGTTTCTTTTTTATGTTTCTCGGTTTAAATTTGTTTTTCTTGGGTGAGCGCTCATGGTGGGTACGTGGTGGGCCCAGTAAGCGTGGTGGTATCTGCTCTACTGTGGGTGTGGTTGGAGCGGCGAGACGTGAGGGTGATGATCTCTGGTATGAGGGAGTGGCGTTAATCTTTACTTGTGTACCTGGATTCCTGCTCCGATGGACTTTTAACGTTTTTTTCGAGTACTGGTATTTGACTGCCTTTTTTTTGTTTGTATTAGCGTTTGTTTCTCTCCCCAACCCATGTGCGTTTGTGCTTGGTCTACTGCGTAGAGTTTGTGTTTGCGTGTAGCCATTGCGCCGGTGCGTAGCGACACGTCGAGTCGAGTGGAGCCCGTGGGATTGCGCAGCATGTCGGGGCAGCTGGAGCGGAACAAGCCAAAGGGGACGCAGCAGCAGCAGCAGCAGCAGCGGGAGGCGAGCGGCGGCATCCGTGGCTCGGTGCGCAGATCTCTCTTCCGCCACATGCTGGATGCCGTTGACGGCTCATTCAAGATACTCATCTGCGATGCAGCGGCAGCGGCGGTTCTCAACAGCTGCGTGCGCATGCATGAGCTGATGGAGCACGGCGTCACGCTGCTGGAAGACCTGATGACGGCGCGCCAGCCCATCATCAACAGCCCCGCGCTGTACTTTTTCACCCCTGACGACGCGACAGTTGGCCGCGTCATGGAGGACTGGAGTGTGAAGGAGCCGTATAAGGAGGCTCACATCTTTGCTCTAAGCACCACGCCGGAGCGGTACGTGCAGCAGCTCGCGGAGTCGCGTTTGGCGCCCAAGGTGAAGAGCTTCAAGGACATGTTGTTGGACTTCTCCACCCCAGAGACGTTGGTGTTTCACCTCAACATGCAGAATGAGTTTGCGCAGCTGCTTTCGCCGGTGGTGCTGCCGGCGCGGGAGGCTGCGTTGGACATTGCGGCATCGCGTCTGGTGTCGGTGTTTCACGCCCTCAATAATGGTGTTCCTGTCATCCGCTTTCAGAACCGGAGCGGCATCTGTCCAGGGTTTGCCAAGATTTTCTTTGAGAAACTGGCCAAACTCTGTCACGACGTGCCGGACTTTAAGAAAGGTGGCGACGGCGGTGACAACCCGCTGCTGATCATCCTTGACCGCTCCTTTGATACAGTGGCGCCGCTGGTGCACGAACGCACGTACCAGTGCCTGCTGGAGGATCTGATGCCGCTGGAGAACAACATGTACGAGCAGACCTTCAAGAATCGGCTTGGGGCGGACTCGAAGCGGCAGTTCCCTGTGGACGAGGAGGACCCCTATTGGTGCCGCTACCGCCACCGCTTCTTTGCGCATTGCCTCGAGGAGCTGCCCGCAGCACTCAAGAAGCTGCACTCGGAAAATCCGAGCCTCGCGCAAGGGATGGGGCAAAACGCCAATGTCGCTGAACTTGGCGGTGCTGTGCGAGCCCTGCCCGAGTTTCAGGAGAAGCAGGCGAAGCTGTCAATGCACATTGATATTTGCACGAAGGTCATGGCGCAGTACCGGGAGCGGCGTCTCGCTGAAGTGTGTGAGGTGGAGCAGGATATTGCTGCGGAGCGCAAGCCGTTCAAGACTAACCTAGAAAATGTTCGACGGCTGCTGAAGGAAGTCACTGTACCACAGGAAGTGCGACTGCGTCTGTTGCTGCTTTTTGTGGCGGCGAGCAACACCAGTGAGTTTACCGAAGTAAGGAAGCAGCAGCTCATCCAGGAAAGCGGGATGGCGGGGGACGTCAACCGCATCGCCAGCCTTGAGCACCTGACGAGTAGAGTGGGGCGGGTTAGGAGGGAAGCTGCTGTCCTGGGGCAAGAGATGAATGGTAAACAGCAAACCGCTAACACCCCTGGCACGAATGCAGCGAGCGGGGGAGACCCATTTCTCAATCAGGCCTATCTTGTCATGGAGGCGGCGGTGAAGAATACACTGAGTGCGGCGGACTTTCCTACTATGAACTCTCCGAATGATGCAGGGCCGACCGCAGCCAGTGGCGGGGTGATGCGGGACGCACCATTCAAGAAGCGAACGCTACGCGCGGGACTTTCGCTCGTTGCCCTAAAACAAGATGGTGTGAACGGCCAAATGGGTGCCAATAGCGGTGTTGCTGGTGGTGGTGGCGGTGGTTATACCAGCACCGGCAGCATGTCACCAGCTGTGTCCCCCCGTGGTGGAGGAAAAGGTGTGAGTCTCCTTGACCTGGGCAACAGCGGCGGGATCATTTCCCTCCAGAGCACGCAACGCATTGTGGTGTTTGTGCTGGGTGGTGTGACGTGCAGTGAAATGCGCGCGGCGTACGAGGTGTCGAAAGCGCTGGGTCGTGAGGTTATAATTGGGGGAACCTCCCTGCTACGACCAGATGAGTTTGTGCGGGAACTGAATAACCTCCGGTAGAGGCACTTCCTATCCACCCTGGCTGTAGAGGCAGCGTCGCTGTGTTGTATTTATGGAGCTTTCGCATCGCTTGTGTGGATTTGATGTCTGTGTGTTTATGCCAATCTTTCTTTTTCCTGCATGTCGATCCGTTCCGATTTCTTTCCTGAGTCTTGCGATATGAAATATGAGACTCGTCAGTGCCACCATCTTTCTTTTTTCCTTTGCTGGCCTGTGCGCGTCTGTGCGTGGTGGGTGTGTGCTGTTTCGTGGGCACCGATGGATCCGCTTTGCTACACTGCACGGGAAGTACCATTGCTGTCTATTGGTATAACAGAATGCAGTTGTGTTGTCATGTGCTTTGCTTTTCCTTCTCCCCCGCCACCTACGCACTCCATTTCAGCCTCTCCCACTAGGTGGGGGGCGGAAAGGGCGCCTCTCAGGTCACGTCTGCTCGTATGATGCGCCCTCCCCTCTGCGTGGCTGCTGGCCTCTGCGCTGGGCTCCTGGTGCCTTTCTTTGAAGCCCCGTCTTCAGTGTTGCGCATCGGCCCCTTCTTTTCCTTCTTCTTTTGTCACACTTCTTCAAGGCATGCATAGGCGGGAGGAGGTAAAACTCCTACAGTAATGCAACTCTTTTTGTATGTGTGTGTCCTGCTTGGGTTGTTCTTTTGATGGATTGATCACCTGTTTCGGTGGACGCTGGATATTCCCTACATCCCTTCGCTTCACTAAGAATAGGTGGAGGCAAGGAGAGGGCGAAGGGAATTCGTTTGATTGAGTCCATGACATTTAGCGCGAGAGACGCGGTGCTTAACGATGATGAGGAGTGGTTCAACATCCCAGCGGTGGTGCGCAGTTTTCTTCGCCAACTGAACAATGAGGTGCAGAATAACCGGCTGGCATGCGATGCGTTGCTGCAGAGCCAACGGGAGCAGGATGGGCTGCTGAAGGGGGTTGCGTCGAAGCAGATGGAGCGTGAGTTTCAAATGACCAAAACGGTTCTGGCGTTGCAGCAGGACCGACAAGAGGACCAGACGTCTCTTCGCGAACTGGTGGAGAACATGCGCGATCAAATGCGTCACTTGAGCGAGGAGCAACAACTAATGAGGGATCGTGTCCGGCGCATGGAAGAGCGAGAGCAGGAGGCGATTGCCATGCACGACTCCCTTCGTGCCAAGTCCACCAGCTTGTCCAAAGCATTGAATGGCCGCTCAGTGGAGTTGGAGACTCTGCTGCACCGCAGTGTTGGGGAACTGTCGAAGGGTTTTGGTGAATTGGAGAAGGAGGTTCGCTTGATTTCGACGAAGCAGACCGACATGGTGGTGGAGAGCCGGGGGGAGCTTGAGCGCTTCAATGCCGCGCTGCAGCAGCTCTGTGGTGCGGTTTCTGAGGAAGTGGACAGCCTCAGAGCGCAGGTTCAGGGGCAGGAGAAGGTATCAGTACGTTTATGTGGGAGGAGGGGGTGGGGAAGAGTTATTGCGTTTGTCTCTTCGCAAGCGCTGCGTGCACGTGAATGGGGCAGAGTGGGTGAAAGTGGCCTCTTGATCAAAGCCACTTTGCGCCTGCATGTGGAGGGCTCGGTGACATGGTCTTTTCTTTTGTTTTAGTTCTCCTAAAAAACAAAGGAAGTTAAGGAAAGTATTGTTGTTCTGGTGCTGGTTGTTTTCTGCTGGTGTGTTGCTTTACCTGATAGGGACCGAAAGTGTGCGCTCCTCTGCTATCACTTGATCTTCCTCACAGAAGGCTGCAGATCATTGCAAATGTTGCGGCTCGCCCGTGTGGCGCTTCGCCGGGACGCGCTTAATGGCGGTAGTTCCATGACGTTGGGCTCAAAGGGGATGAAGTTGTCCCCAGACCCAAACCGCAGGCGTATGCCATGGACGGCTGCGAAGGAGTACGTCCCAGGTGTCGTACTCAACGCTAAGGAAAAGATGGTATTGGACGGTGTCCAGTTGGTGGATGTGGAGAATATCGATCGCACTTCCCAGGTGGACCCGCTGGAAGCGCTGCGGGCGACAGTAGCCACATATGAGTACAACGCGTCTACTGGTAAAAATGTTTTCCAATTGGCTTCACAAGTGGAGTTTAACGGCCGCGGGCAGCGATTCTACCGGAAGGAATGGCAGGAAGGAACGTACGACAAGTACGTCACCCTCTCCGCTATCGATTTCGACCGTAACGGGAATAAGNCTACCGGAAGGAATGGCAGGAAGGAACGTACGACAAGTACGTCACCCTCTCCGCTATCGATTTCGACCGTAACGGGAATAAGGGAACCGCGTATGGTTACATAACCTTTCACGGAGAAACAACCACACGACCTGTGCAGATTGATTTTGCGGACGTTCCTGGGTGGCAAATGGATTACCGGAAAGAATGGGCCGTGCCGTTCGACGGGATTGTGGCAGCACCGCCCAGTATTGGTACAGACGTCCCTGTCGATCCGCGTTCGTACCGCTTGAAGGCGTACCCGTTTTACGATGCCCCAAACCCGCCCGAGTTTGTGGAGCGGCTGTTGAAGGACCGAGGTGTGCTGCCGGACTCCCCGGTGGAGACGGCGGAGCCCGTCGAAGACCCCGGGGCAAGTGACGGATCAACGCACCACACCCGCCCATAGAAAAGGGATTGGGGGGCCCCGCTTTCTCGCCCGCGAC